GCCCAGGCTGGAGCGCACCGGGCGGGTCCGTGCGATCATGCGTTTTTGCACCGGACTTGAAGTACTCAGGTTATTGACCGTATGAATGGTTGTTGTTTTACAGCTACCTTTTGCAATCACTAGCATAAATCACCATAAATTTTGCAAAGTAAATGTACAATTTCCAGTTCTTTAAAAGTTCTTTAACAGCCGTTCTTTATAAGTAACTTGGTTGTTCAGTGATAAATTTTTCCATCAAGACTTTTAAGTGCCCGTACGTAAGAACCACGCAAAACTCAAGGCTAAATCCGAAATACTTAAGTTGTATTTGGACAAGGAACATTCCCCAAAATTTCAGCTAGCTTTTCTGGTTACCGAGTTAGCAGTTTTCCGGCCAAACCTTCATATATCCGTATGTTGGTACTTCGCATGCATGGAAAGCCGAATTTTAAATTTTTAAATTGCCCGTGGACAGGGAACATCCCCTTAAAATTTCACCCTTCCAGCTCTTCTGGTTACCGATTTAGTAATTTTCTTGCAGAAACTTTAAATGCCCTTACGTGAGTAACAAACATACCTGGGGGCTGTGAAATCTTTAGCCAGTACATGCGCAGGGAATATCCCCACAAAGTTTCAGCCCCTTAGCTCGTGTGATTCCCGAAATTGCTTTCTCGCCAAAGAATTTGCATGTTTTTTAAAGCGTCCGTACGCGACACCCAGGCGTCTTCGGAGGATGAAATTAAAACGGGAGGGTCGCGCATGGCATGGGCACATATTCCCAAAGTTTTAGCCTTCTAGCTTTTCTGGTTCTCGAGTTGAAAGTGAGTGACAAAAAGTGAGGACACACACACACACACGGACATCCTCTTCCCAAAATGCGTTTTTGCAATTTGCATATATGCAAAAACGCATAATGAATTCAATCATTTTACCGCTGCTTCGGTGAGAATGAGTTTAAAAAGTCCCAACAACACAACTGTTACCTCTTCCAAGGATTGTGCTTGGTGGCTGATACCAATGCCCCCAATATAAATAGTTTTATGCAAAATTGGTCGTGTGACATCCAGAAACTCATCGCTGTGTACAAAACAAAGTGCTGATTCGCTCGCCAAGTTGCGTACATTAGGAAAATTTTTGTCCACAATTTGTTGAAATTTCTCAGTTATCAAATTGGTTCCGTAACGATGCAAGTAAATTGATATTGTCCATCTAAAATGATTCAGCAGCTAAACGTAATAAAATTACTAGTCTGGTGCGGTCATGTGTTTTGTGCAATTTAGCCCATCGAACGATTGCCTATCAATGATTTTCACTGCTTTGTACT